AATCCCCTTGGGTTTCCCATCACCAAATCACCCATGTGCCATCACCATAGTCCCATGCACTTCCCTCCCCCCACTGTTTTTGATCCCATTCCCCACTCTACCCCTGTAAAATGTCTCTGGTATATGGCTGTTCATTATTATTATTATTTTCTCCCCTGGTCCATTATACTCCTGTTATGAATGAAACCATCGGCATTTTTCCTTTTCTTTCTGGCTCATCTCACTACGCATGATCTTTTCCAGTTCCATCCATGTTGCTGCAAAAGGCATGTGTTTATTTTTTTTTTTGGTTGCTGAGTAATATTCCATTGTGTCTATGTACCACAACTTTTTAATCCAGTCATCTACTTCTGGGCTATGCCCAACACTATCATCCTCCTCTCATAGACAAGGAAACTAATGCACAGAACATGCTGGGGAAATGAAACATTCCAGGGAGAAGACTTGCTTGAAAAAGATCCTGTGGCTTGACAAACGAGGGACCCTCAGGAAAAGCTGCAGTCTTGGGGAGAGGGGAGTTTTGAGGCAGACACTACTCCAGATGGGATCTTTGAGGACATGGCCTGAGCAGGGAGGCGTGAGCGGGTCTCACAGCAGGCTACAGGGGCCACCCCATCCCAGCAATCACCCCACTGCCATTGACTGTAAAGAAGCATGTTTTTCCAAGACCCTTGAGGCCAGAAGCAAGAACTTACCTTTGGGGAGCATCAACAACAATATGTGCCAGGCCCAGAAAAGCAAAGGCTGTGAAAAGCAATCAATCCTCATCACCATCTTCTGAGACTGATGCCCCACTTATATGGGATGAAGAAACAATGTTAAGAAAAAGGCCTCCAGGTACCAAGGATCATGGTCTGGATTCAAACTCAGATCTGTGTGGATTCACAGCCTGGCTCGGTCCACACTGCCCAGGGTCTCTCCGGGAAGGACACGAGTCCTGCATCATAGCCAATGGTGCATGTGCCCTGGGTGAAGTTCACTGGTGAACTCAATAGAGGCCTGCTGAATGCGAGAATAAACTGGCCCAACCCGGCTTTTGGGGAAAAGATGAATGAAAAAAAAAAAAAAAAGCAAAATAAAGCTGGCCAGACATATGTTTATGTGTGTATACATGTCAATGGATCCTTTCATACAACACAAGGAGGTCTCACGGGCATGTGCATGGGCAGAACACAGCGGCCGGCATGGAACAGTGAAGAAAGTGAGATCATCTCCTCCAGTGTTCAGGTAGAGAACAAACACCTTGGGACAGACCCATCTGGCAGAGGGATGGCAAAGCCCTGGAACCCACTGGCCTGGCTAGAAAGAGCTCAGAGCTACCTCATCACTACCCGCGGTCCTGGGGCTCCCAAGGGGGCCAGGGGAGACTGCTGGCTCCTTAGTCTGGTGGCCCAGTGGGGCCCCATGCAGAGGGCAGACATGCCCCTATCAGCAAGAAACTCGAGTCAGTATACTACGCAAGCTGTGGCCATGGTCACTTCTCACCTCACTTCCACAAAGGCCGCCCTATTTTTAGACCATGCAATTGGCCTTTGGGAGAGGGGCCAGGACCCAGGAAGCTGGCTGGGTCCAAGCCATACTGCCCACGGCTCTTTAGGTCACCAAGGTGGAGGTCAGGCCACCTTCCATCTCAAGAGTGGCACGCCGGTAGCCTCCCTGGGCCAGAACAGTGAGGATTCTACCTTTGGGGTGATTGAAAAGGTCCAGTGTGGGGAGGGCAGAAAGGGCAGTTGAGTGAGGGGACAAGGGTGATGGCAGAAGGGACACCTACCCAGGAGGCGGAAGAGCGTGGCCCGGCGGAACGCCTCTGTGTGTTGATACAGCCGCAGGGCCGGCACGAGGCCCGACACGTGGAGGAAGGACCCGGGCACTGCCAGGGACTCCAGGGCCACCAGGCCCTCCTGCCACGTCCCCCGGTGCAGAGCGAAGGAGGCATGGTGATGAAAGTCATCGCTGGGCTGCCACTTAGCCAGCTCCAGCGACCCATTGGCTGTGACATGGAGGAAGAAGTTGGGTCTGTCTGCTGCCTCCAGGGACACCACATCTGGGTCTGCAAAGAGCCAGGGTAAGTCAATGTAGACCAAGATCCAGATGCAGAGTAGAGTGAGGCATGTCTGCACTCAGCGACGGGAAGGCCATCCGCCCTGTGGCGTATCCCTAACCTGGCCCTCCAGCTCTGCCCTCCACCCCCCGCCCTTCAACACTTACTTCTACCTGCACACTGCCCCTCTGTGCACGCCACCTCTTCCCTTGGAAATGGAAGGTTAGAGAAGCCCCCAACTGCTGAACTTCCTTCCTTTTCTTCTGTCATTCACTCCTCCACTTCTTCCCTCCCTCCCTTCTTCCTTTCTTCCTTCCCTCTAACCTTCCTTATCTTCTTACTGCAAATAATTGTGATTCCCCAGTGTGTGCCAGGCCCTCATCTAAATACCAGGGATCCAGTCATGAATAGGACAGAGCAAGTCGGATGGTTATCCTAAGGCAGCGGGAAGCCAGGAGAAACTTTAAGGAGGGGGGGCACAGTCGCGATCCTGCCCAGCCCCAGGCACAGCCAGTATCCCCAGCCGTGGGAGACATTTATGCTGGGGTGAGTTGCTTCGGTAGGAAGCACTGGGTTCGAGGAAAGCTGGTCTGGGGACTGGGCGCAAGGAGGATCAGAAGCATCCACCACCACGAAGGAGAATACCCCTTTAGACTCTGTGGTCCTGCTAGAAGGTGTCTTACAGCCTTCAGATGTGACAGACCATCTGCTTAGTGAGGATCTTCTGTTCTCCATCCAATGTTTTAGTCCGGCAAGTAAGGCCCAAAGTGGGTGTTGGTGTTCCAGTGGTTTTAATGTCATACGGCAGAAGCCCACATAGGGCCTGCAGCAGTATCCCTCTTCTCCAGAACACTCCAGACGTTGTGAAGTCCAGTGTCACTCTCAGTCATGCCTGGGTCTTGTGGGCAACTGGAGCAGGGCCCGCTGAGGGCCAAGGCTTCCCCCACCCATCCTGTACTGTGCCTGCGGTACTGGACAGTGGGAGGAAAGGGCCTTCTGGGTCAGATCTGTGACTGTGTGAAGGAGCTGTCCCTTGAGGTGGGCCTTGGAGCATGGGAAATTTGTGATGGGAAGAAACATAACAGAAGTTTTTTGGGAGGACGATTCAGCCATCACTTAAGCCTGGCCCTCTCATTCTCACGCTCGGGGGTCTTCATGTCTTATAGGATGTGCTGAAGGGACACCCTGCACATCTCCCTGGAGGACTGATTTCAGTTGAAGATGGGGGAGGTTTACTTATTAACAATAATAGCTCACTCTTCTGTAGTATTTACCATGTGCCGAGCACTGTTCTAAGAGCATAATCTTTACATGGCCTTAGGAGGGTGCTGGCCCTCCCTGGTGGTGCAGCGGGTTAAAGTGCAGCACTGCAAACTGGCCACAGCTGCTCAGTCCAAGATCGATACCCAGCCTGGCCTCTAGTGACCCACATGGCATGGCAGACCTCTCCTGTCTTGCCTGCTGCTCCCCTCAGCAGTGTACTTCATCCATCTGCCTGTTCTGTTCCCTACTCTATCGCTGGTGAATCCTCTCACAGTCCTTGAACCTCTGGCCTGTACCCCAGTTCTATATGCATAAATAAATAAATATTAAAAAAAAAGAAGTGGGTGCTATTCTTTTCCCAATTTACATAAGCAAGCAGTTAAGTAATTTAAGGGTTTATCATTTATTAGAGAGGAACTTGCCTTTTGGCTCACGTTCTTTATCCAAGCTATGCTATTCCCCAAACAGAATTGAAAAAGAAATAGAACTTAAAGAAGGTGGAAGTCTCTTGAACATTAGAGGTGAAACTCAAGGGTTTCAGCCTCTCCTCTGTTACCTCAAGGCCAGTGGCTGAGAACCTTGATGGAGAAGAATGTCAGTCTCCAGAAGGAGGAGTGGGAGAGGAAGTGACTTACCTGAGGTTGCACAGCCAGTGTTGGGGGGTGGGGTTGGGTGGTCTCCTATGCTGCCTCATGTACACCCCTGGGCCCATCTCTGGAGCTGACAGTGTGGTGGCTAAGATCCTGGGCTCTGCTTCAAACTGCCTGGCTCCAAACCAACCCTTCCTCCCCCATCAGTGTGGTTCTAAGTCTCATCTACAAAATGGAGATAACAATAGCGTCACCATTCCACCTGTTAAAGAATTTACTAGATTCTTATGTTCATTTCACTTCCACCCCCACCCCCAATTTGAACATAAGCTCCATGAGAACAAGGCCACGAGAACAAGGACTTTCGTTATTTTATTCCCCTCTGGATCCCCAGAACCTAGGACAGTGTCTGGCATGAAGCTGCTGAATGATGGAACCCACTGCCTCTCAGGGTTCTCTTAAAATTTAATAAAATCAGCAGGTAGAGGGCTTGCTCAACAATGTGTCTAGTGCATGGTGCACCACCGATTAAAAGCAGTCATTGTTATTGACATTAATAATGAATTCTTCCTCCAGGTACCTCATGTCTTTTCACAGACAGCCAGGGAGGGATAACAGGAACTCCACAGAGTCCTTCCTAGGGAAACAGGGGCCACCTCCAAGAGGAAGGGCTATGCAAAAGTCCCTACTCCAGGCCTGTCACAAACGGGCATTGCTTATCCCTCAAGGTGGTATAGGGCTATTAATTTTCTTCCTCTACCACACAGGCAGACTCCATGACGTACCTGTGGGCATGTGCTTGTGGGTGCAGAGACACAGACCCACGGGGAGCAGGTGGGGCCATATGCCCACTTGCAAGCCCCACTCTCTAGAAATGGGCCCTGTGAAGACAGGAGACAGGACAGCAGAGACCAGCCCACAGATGTACCCCTGGCTACCAGCTCTGGGCCTGTAAGATCTGTATGGAGTGGACCACGCTGGGCTCACTGAAACCCGGCAAATCCCTAACCCCCACCTTGTCCAGTCTGTCCAAGAGATGGTTCTGTCTATCTCTTCAGTGCCCCAGACTCCTTGTGCCTGGCCCCTCACATGAATGTCACCTACACCTGAGGACAGGAGCTAGGGTGTCCCTCCTTAAAGCCCTTGGTGTCTCCCCATTGCCCCCAGGATAAAGATCCAGCTCCTGAACTTGGCATATAAGTTCCTTCCTGACAAATTCTCAACTCTCAGGAAAACATCATTTATTCTAGAAACTTCTCATGTCCCCCAAATGTTCAGGCACTGCAACCTCCTCCGAACATATCTGTTGCCTGGGTGGGACTGAGGACTTGTGGTGGACAGGCATTGTGTCTGCGACGTCCTGAGTCCCCCGGGCCCAGTTCTGCGCCTTACATGTGATGAGGATTCAAGGAAATGAAGGGGGGTAAGTAGAAGGAGGAAGGGGAAGGGGAGGAGGGGAGAAAGAAGTGGGACAGGGGAGGAGAGAAGGTGGCAGGAAGAGAAGAGGCCCAGAAGCCCTGTATCAAATAGGAAAAGGGCCCCTTAGTGGCCTCATGTCTGCAGGTGGTGCAGACAGTTCTGGGCCTCTTCTGGTGTCCGATGCCCCCCATCAGGGCCAGAGCGGGATCTTACCGTGGGCCTTGGCTCTGTACAGTGCAGCTGTCAGCAGGAAGTTCACCAGGTCTCCAGGGTCCATGTGGCCTGTGCTTACCAGGGCTATGGAGCCACTGGGCACCTTCACGGCCACTCGGGCACCACCGGCCGCCAAGCTGGCCAGCTGGTAGGGACCCTTTCCTAGTGCTGGAGAAGAGGGGTCCAGTCAGCCTCCCTGGACCTTTGCTGGCCTCCCACACCACCTGCCCACCCCTGCCAGAGGTGGGAGAGAGGGCAGTGCCAAGCTGGTGTTTATGGTCACCTTTCATCCCAAGCCCCAGGGACCTTGGTTGTTAATGAAAGGAAAGAGACAGGGACTGCCAGCTCCTGATGAGAACCGAATCATTTCAGAGGGACCTGGGAACAAGAGCACTTGTGGGGGGAAAGGGGGGCACGGGGATCCCCAACCATCCTTCCATGGGATTGTCCAATGCCTGAGACTCTTCCAGTCCAGCTGCTGCACTACTTAGGGCTGCCTGGTCTCTGCCCATCCAAAACCGAAGGGGTGAAGGATGGGAAGGCTTGACTCAAGGTGAACTGGGAACATAAGCACTGACTTACTTCAAACAAGTGTCACTTTTGCAAGTCTTGGGGTGCTGTATTAGTTTTGACAGGAGCACGGTGTGGGTTTCCAGTGACAACAGCCTGTAGCTGAGTTCCCTGGCTCTGGGGTGTCCCCTTGCCCCCAGGCCCTCCTCTCCATGGGTACTAGGTCACCTTCCTGGCCAGACTCCCTGCTGTGACTCACGATGGCACCCCTCGGCCCTCAGACATAATCAAGAACCCCCTTGAAAGCAGGGGCCTTCCTGCCTCAACCCCTCCCATCGTCCGGTCCCTTTGCCTGCTCTTCCAAGGAAGAGTGTGCTGTGTCCTTCCTCGTGTCTCCACTCATGCCATCCCACCCACTCAGAGTCACCCTCCCAGCTGTGTGTCTGGCAGGTGCCCACTCCCTCTCTGGGGCCCAGCTCAAATGCCACCTTCTGGGTGAGGCTGTCCCTATCCCCTCCCTGCCAGGCATAATGTCATCCCTCCTCCTCGGTGCTCTCCCAGGCACGCACGGGTCATGGGCTTACAGTGAGGACCTTGATCCTGGGCTGCAGTGTTTGCAGGACCATGGAGGTAAATGGTCAACAACCAGCTCTCAGGAAAAGAGCAAGTTGAACCCTGCTCTGTGGCTTTGGTGTAAATACACCCACAAGTGGTTAACTGCAAACTACCAACTGAACGTGGAGTGAGGAGCACACAATAGGTAGGAGAGAGCCCGCAAGAACCGAGAACTGCTCTGGCCCAGTGCGGTGACCGGTCCCCTTGCCGCTGACTTCCCAGCACCCAGCAGGGAGCTGGACCACAGCAAGCGCTGGGAAAAGATCAGGGCAAGGAGTGGATGGTGGGAGGAAAGGTGGAGGACGCTACAAACAGCATGTCCTTTGCCAGTTTCTGCCACCCAAAATGCCACAGAAGAGAGAAATCTCCGCTCAGAGTTGTGTTGCTGAAATGTCTTGCCTGATGTCAGACAGCCCTTGCCTGTCGAGGGGCTGCAATTCCTCATTACTGATTCATTCTGTGAAGGGTCAAAGATAGGGGACGCGAGGGCCCGAGGGGCCAGCAGTGTGGCCAAGCTGTCATCCCTGTGGGTTACCTTAGTGTACTGTGGTCCACTCATCTCACCCCCTCCCCCAACTCTCCCTTGTCTCTAGTCTGTTCTCCACTGCTTTGCTCACTATTCTGTTTCCAAGGGGGCTGTTTCTCAAACTAAAATCTGCTAATGCAGGTAGCTGATGACAAAGCCTTGTGCCTATTCCAAGGGCTTGCTCCTGGTAGGATGGGGCCTGGAGGGGGACAAGTGGGCTCGGAAGTCAAAGGTTACTTGAGTCAAGGACCCAATGACTATCTAACTCTGCCCAGGTTTGATCTTAGCTGAACAGGACAGATATCAATGCTGAGAACTATTTCTGGGCAGCCCCCCACCCACCATTGCCAATAGTCATCATTTAATGACCAAGAGCCAACTAAGTTAGCTCTAACTGGACCTCCCTGGGGTCTTTAAGTTGTTGGTCATGACCTGTGCTTCCACCCAAGTTAATATAGAGTTGAAGCGTATCCTGGCACCCCAAGACATTGGCTAAATTTGAATCCGGCAGGCTGAGCCAGTCCACAGGTTTTGCCCCAGCCATCCTCAGAAGGAACAGTGCACATTTGCTTTGCCAACTCAGAAACTGCAGGAAACCCAAGACGATGCGCCAATGAGCTAGATTATGAAGGTCACTGCACATTGGTGGAAATGGGATTTTGCTTCCTGGAGGAGCAGGATCCCTGGGAAGATGTGGGCTTGGGTTATTGACAGGCTGCAGGAGCTGCTGGGACCAGAGTTCCAGGCACCCCTGGACCCTGCACTATCAGAGCTTTTAGCATGATGGGGGTCCTTCCACAATGGCTCTTCCAGGACCAGCAGACCCTCAGGGTGGCTTGTGCTGATGTGGCATAAGGGTACCCTAGTTCCCAAGACCCAACCTGGGGAGGACGGGCTTACCTTTGTTAAAGAAGTCACAGTCATATGCTGAAAGAGAGAGTGAAAAAAGAAACTTGTTGAGAAATCTGGAACAAATGGGCAGGGCCAACACCTTTAGCACCTTAGCTCTCCATTCTTCCCCAAGGGTTGAACCTGGCCTGCCTCACATACTCCCAGATTCAGACATGGCCATTGGATTAGGGTGTCTTAAAGTGTAAGGAGTACAATGGCTCCTTTCTATGCCTTCAGAACAAGAAATAATTCTGAGAACTTGTCCTTTGCCTCACCTCTGGCAGGGGTGGGCAGGTAGTGTGGGAGGTGGGCAAACACCCAGGGAGGCTGATTGGACCCCTCTTCTCCAGCACAAAGACTGACCTCGTAGAAGCACTTAGCATGTTTCAGTGAATGAATGTTGGTCAGAAGGGTGTTTTATGTGGCCTCAAAAGCCTTCCACAGAGTGGAAGCTCCAAACAGAAGTGTTGTAGAGGGTTCCAAAGGAATGCAAGCACAAGATAGAAGTCAGCCCTTCAGGAGCCTTGACTGGGAAGGGACCAGCAGCCTCCTGGACCGGAAGCTTCTTCCGGCCCCTCTGCACTATCTCAGAGCTATTATCAGGCTCTGACAAGTTCTACCAAACATGTGCTCAGCACGCCCTCTAGTGACCATCACAGCACCACAGCCTGTTCCCCAAGCACTTCAGTCAAGGATTCTTCAGTCCACTGGAGAGAGAGCTGGGGACTTGCATGAGGTGCCTAAAACCAGAAGCAAGACCATGAAATATAGTTGGGTAAAGCTGGGAAAAAGGCTGAGGAGAGCCTGCCTGGAAAGATTTCTAGGAGAATCACCAACTCCCGCACACCACAAACCCCAGACACTACCCCTTGGCCCTATAAGTCCTCTGGAAAGAGGCTGACCTGTCATGTAGAGATGGGGAAGGACCTGCTCTTCCTCACAGGTGAACTCAGAAGACTGAAGCAGGAAGTTAGAAGATCGAGTCTCTGGTTTCAAGTGTGTACCAGGTCAATAAGAAATAACTCAGAAGAGTCCTCATGAGCCACTCTGGAGTCAGAACCTGAGTTCAAATCTCATCTGTCTCCTTCACCAGCCGTGTGTACTGGGACAGGTGACTTGACCTCTCTGAAATTTAGTGCTCTCCTTTATAACATGGGACCACCACTAGTATCTTCCCTGTAGACCTGACAGGGCCTGGATTAGGTAAGGCAAGTGCTCACCTCAGGGGTGAGATAAAAAAAAAAAAATCAAGGGGTCAACAAAAATCCCAGCAATCAAGATTTATAATATTTTTCATATTTAAATATTTTTAAATGTTAAAAAAATATTTAAAGTAAATATCCCTAATAAACAAAGTACCCAAAGTTAAAAGTACAAGATCCATGATAGTAACTTGCCAAAATATAGGAAAAATCAGTACATTGCTCCTGTCGTTACTAAAATCTTTGCTATTTTGTTTAATGGTATTTTAGCACTCACTCAGATTTTGTTTTTGTTTTTGTTTTTGTTTTAAGATTTATTTATTTGTGCATACAGAGCTGGGGTACAGGCCAGAGACTCAGGGGTGGCGAAAGACTTCACCAGAGACAGAGTGGGGAGCACAACAGGCAGATCGATGAAGTACACTGCTGAGGGGAGCAGCGGGCGGGTCAGGAAAGGTCTGCTGTGCCATGTGGTCACCCCCGGCAGGCAGAACCGAACTCATGCGGAAATGGTTTCAGCTTCTTAGTGCAGTGCTTTAACCCGATGCGCCACCAGGGAGGGCCGGAGATTTTGTTTTTTAATATAAGCTTAAAATGTGATTTACGGTGGTGCCCTCTTCAACCCTGTGCCTCAGGAAGTGCCTCACCTGCCTCACTCTAGTCATGAATAGTACATGGGCTCATGCCCAGGCTCACAGCAATTTCTCAGTATACATGTTTCCTTCTCCTTCCTGAGGAACTTATCAGGGAGCGAGAGGGAGATGCAGACTGCTGAGGACACGGGGCATCTGGGGTGGAAGGGTCTCGGGGAAGATGGGCAGGGAAAAGGGAGGTCAAAGGTAGATTCTGCTCCATCTCTTGAGGTGACTCTTGCCGAGGCCTGCAGGGTGTCCCGCCCCCATGCAACCAAGCACAACAGCCACAGCATCAGCAACAGTAGAGGGCACTGTGCCTGCCAGTGCTTTCCAAGTGCCAGCTCATTTAAATCTCACAGCCAGGTAGGTACAGGTCTCCAGCTCGGAATACAGCTCAGAGTTGTGGGAACATGCCCCAGACACGCCATGATGGAGCGTGGGTCTCAACCCAGACTGACCTGCAATCACCACTGTACCTCCCAAATGAGGTGGGCTTGCACAGGGAGAATCGCCAATACCCAAGAACATGACATTTCGTTCATTAGCAATTAAATTTCCAGAGATCCCATTTAATCTTTTAAGTATTTGCTTTCCCATCAGCTTTGTGACATACATCACACGAACAATGGTGACCCTGTGTACATGTATTCATTTACTAGATGGGGGTGTGCAACCCAATGGGCACCACAACAGTTTTACTGGATGTGGATGTGCGACCCAAAGTGTTTTCAGTCTACCACTGCTTTGGATAAACTGGTATGTTTGGCCACTTTCTGATGTGGCCTGTGTATCTCAGGCTACAGGGCCTTTATATTCACTGTCCTGTGTGACCTTCACCAGAAACCTGTCAGGGTAGGTCTATTCCTAATTTTTCGATGAGAAAATTGAACCCCAGAGGCGACGGTTAAGTTGGGGGGTAGGGAGACCCCTGGCTTGTAAGTGGCAGCACTGGGCCTGGACTCCGAGGGCCCTAACTCCTCCAGCAGAGTGGTTAAGAACACATCTCTGTGTTCTGGTGACGAGCTCTGGAGACGAGCTCTGCTCCACCACTAAGCTATGCGACCTTGAGCACGTTCCTTAAGCGCTCTCTCTCGAACCTGGTTCTCCAATTGCAAGAAGGGAATGTCAAAACCAACTTCACAGTGTCGTAAAAATTTAGTGACTGACACACACAGAGCACTTGGTGCCAGCACACAGTGAGCACTTAGTAGATGGTGGCTGGGTGATGGTGCCCCACAGGCCTGCCCACAAAGGGGCTCCCCTTCCCCTTAGGTGGTCAGTCTAGACACTCACGGCAGAGGCGTGGGGTCCGCCAGTCAACGGCCAGCCCGTGCTGGCAGCACTGGTGGGCATAGGCAGACACGCTGGCACAGAAGCACTCACAGTCGCCGCCCCGGCTGCACCCACATGTGTCCGTCAGGCAGTTTGAGTAAAACCAAGTGACGTCGACCTAGAGAAGGTCAGAAGTCAGAGGTCAGAGGGTAGATCCCAGAGTTTGTCCCTGCAGCTTCTCGGCTGATGCTACCCAGCCTCAGAACAGGCAGTGTAGTGTAGGCCCTGGCGGTGCTGTGCAGAGCTGAGCATATTGCCAGGGCCATTGAAACAGGCAGCGGCTGAGGCCACAGCATGAGGGATTTAGTTCTTCAGAAGAACTTTCTGATAGGAAAGAAGAGCCAGGACGAGAGAGGCTTAGAAAGGGCATGGGCGCTGGCTGCCTGTCCCTAGTCATCTGGGGAAGCAGGACAGACTCCTCTAAGCAGGTTGGAGGCCAGGATGGCAGAGGTGGCTTTCCAGTCCACACTGAGGTGTCCTGCTGAGGCCCGGGAGCTCTCAGAGTAGAAGGGAGTGGGGGTTGCATGGCGCCCCTGGAGGGCCAGGCCAGGACACTTACCACAGGGTGGCAGATCTCGAACACCTCACTGAGCAGGATGCTGCACTCTCTTTTGGCAAATGGTTCTCGGAGAGGATTTAGGACACACGTGTCCCGGGGGTCGAGGGTGTCGGGGCACTGAAGGGCAAAAGCAGAGCTGTTGATGTCCCTCTCCCCAAACACCTGCGGCCTGATGTAGCATAGACCCATTCCTGGTGCTCATGTCCTTGTTTAATCTGCTCCCCTTTAGTGAGAGTGGTGGACTTAGGACTTGCTTCAAAACAGCCTAAGGGGCTGGTGCGATTACGCTGCATGATTATGTTGCGTGTGATTACAAGAGCCAGCGTGCTTGAGTCTCTCTTGCTGGCTGTGGGGAAGCAAGCAGCCTTCTTCCTTGACCTAAGGACAGCTTCTCTCAGTGTTGGCCAGGGTCCATCTGGATAAGGGCTGTGAGACGCTTTGGGGAGGTTTTACCTCGACTGCAGCCCAACTGCTGCCAAACTCCTGGGGGTTAGTTAACTCAAGGTTCTCCGGGGTCCTCATCTCATTGATGGTTTTTAAATCGAAGTTCCCACAGAGTCCTGCCAGCTGGCCCTGAAAGAAGAGAGGACCCCATGGTCAGCTGCGGCACCCAGGGGAGAACCACGGACAGAGGGATCTCCAAGAAACCAGGGGGCTGTAATGGCCTTAGAAGTGACTTTAGGGGTCACAGTTTGAAGAGGGATAGGGAAAAAGTCAGAGAAGAAATGGCAGGGTAGGGGAGAATGGGTCAGACACATGACACTCCTGGTCCCCTGGAAGGGCACTACCCTTCCGAGTCACAGGTGTGACTCAACTCAGCCTCAGGCAGGGGCCCTGGTCAAATATACCTGCCACTGTGGCCCGGTCTGGATGTGCACTGTGGTTCTCTGGTCCCATAAGAGGGTGATGTGCTCCCGTGGGAAATGCACCAGCGTGAAAAACCCTGCTCTCCACGTGTGAACCTCCTGCTTCTCATCCAGGAAGCTCTCGGGACTCTAGAGGGACAAAGATAGTCATTCCCGAGGCCCACGTGTCCCCCATTACATGGATCAACTGGGCTGGTCACAAGTCACAGCTCAGCCCCAGAACTCACATTGACTTCTGTGTTCCTGATTCTAGTCAAGGCATTCATTTAGGGCTGTGGACTCAGTGGCACTCTGAGAGAAACTGTCATGGTAAGGAAACCAGTCCAAAGCCCCCTTCACCCTTGTTAACCTGCAAATTGTCTGTACAACCAGCCCTGGTCCTTACAGGATTTCCCGAGTCGTCCTCAAAGATGATGAGTGAGTTGCCAACATTGATGGAAATAAATTTCCTGCAGGTGATGCCAGAACTATAGCAGTTTACATTTTCTACAATCACAGAGAAGCTGAAATTTGATGTGCTCTGAGGAGAAAATAAGTTCATTCAATGAAACATGAAACAGAGAGAAAAAATCCCACAGAGAGACACCCCCACAATTAGGCACCAGATTGGAGTCCAGAGCATCAACACGCACTTACAGGTTCTCAGCTGCTCTTGGTCCCCATAAAGCCAGCTGGACAGAAACATCCAGAAGCTCACCTTGATGAGATGCACTTTGCACGCCCCCACAAAGTCAAACGGGAGCCCATCAAATGTGCGGTAATGCCGGTCGCCGTAGACTGTGCAAGTGGAGGCACAGGGGTGCAGAGCGCACTGGAAGGAGCCTTGTTGGCAGATGCTGAAACACACACACCCACAGAAGTCGCAGGACACATCCCCACTGCACCCTGAATCTTCACGGCATAGCCACTGCCTGCCCAGTGCCCACCGTGAGCTCTGCGGCCAGGGGTCAACAAACACCCACAACCTCCAACAGAAGCCTGAAGGGTGGAAATGGGAATCCCAATTTTATGTAGGAGAGATGGGAACTCAGAGAGGGTAAAGAACACACATCCAATAAGCAGTGGAATTGAGAGTGAATCCAGATCTATTTGTGCTGAAACCTTCCGGGGGATGATAGTAAATACCAGGGAATATAGCACAAAGGCTGGCTGTATGAGGTTCGGCGTCATGAATTTAACATGAGACCAGGCAGCCTCCTCCAGCTGCATTTAGCTAGTTGGATGAAGTTGCAAAAGGTGGATGTCACCAGCATGGTGACTTTGTTAAACAGTAGGGTGAAGCAGGAGAGCACCTTAATGCAGTCATTAAGGTGTGTGCAGTCCCTCAGGATTCTTGGAGGTAGCTCTCAGCGTACAGCATAGGAGGGACATGATAGTTGAGCAAAGCTGAGACGGGAAGTAGGTTTCACTGACATGAGCGAGGCCACCTCTCAGAGGGTTGCTGGTCCTCTTTCCCCTTTTCATCTTAACCTCACTATTCTAACTGATGTGCTTTGATCACTGTCCAGGAACCAGGGCTCAGGGTCCCTGAATCCTGGTTCCCTGAGGTAGTGGCAGGGAATACCTCAGTTCTGCAGATATAGCTGGGTTGTGGAGGGTCTGTCAGAGCCCTGGAACTCATCCACATATTCATACATGTTTGCACATATATGTCCCTATAGACTCAATGAACATGCACACAAATACAGATAAATGCACCTGTCCACATACACAAATTCAAAATTGTGTATATTTGCTAACACCTTCATGTTTATGAACACCCACCTATTCATACACAAGCATGTGCATGTACGTTCACATTGCAGGCTATGCCTTTTGTATTTGTTCCCACCCTTACGTGTCCACATAAATACGCAAACATTGTGAGGTTACAAATTAATAATTTTTACAAATTAGTACTCATGAGCACGCTCACATTCATGCAAATACTCATGAACCCAAAATTCATTCTATGCCTCCACGTGTGCATATACAAAAACTCCTCCATAACACACAAGCACACACCATGGAAGTGCTGCACTGTGCTCATGATCTTGCATTCTATAGCCATCCTCACCTCCCGCAAAAAATAGAGCCTGGGTGAGGACTTCACTTACCAAGTATGGCAGGGAGACATGACCTGGTCTCCAGGGAAATACTCTTTCCCCTTCCAAGCACATGGGCATTCCTCTGGCAAGAAACATGCATCCCCATGTCTGAGCAGGCTGTAGGGACAAGCAAACAGGTGGTCAGGAGTGTGCCTTCCCCAACCTGCATCTGAGGACCCTGGGTCCACAGAGTACCCTGGTGTCTGTCAGCATTTACTGTAGAAGGGACTGACCACACACCATAGTCTGCTGCTCATTGGGTTCAGGGACACCTCAGTATTGGCAAAAACACAAGCAGACGACCCAGCTCTGAAGTCTCAGGCATTCATTAGGAGCAAGCCCCTGGTTACCCAGGCTGCTCGAGGAACTAGCAGTAGGTCTGGACTAACAACAATGTCAAAGGAAGCGTTTCAATAAGATCGAAACTCAGATGAAGAAATGGTAAATATTTCTAAAGTTCTCTCTTATTTCTTTAATATAATTGATTATTTAAAGTGATATTAATGTCAATGAACTGTGGGGTTTATAACATATATAGTCGTAAAATGCACGACGGTAACAATACAAAGAACAGCAAGGGAATAAATGAAAGTATGTGGTTGCAAGTGCTATACATGAAATGGTAAGCTATTAATTCATGGTTGTCTGTGATAAGGAAAAAAACACTTACTATAATCTTTAGAAAAACACAAAAATGAAAAGATGAGACTATTCAGGTAAAATGAAATAAAGGAGATAAAATAGAATACACACACACACACAAAAAAAAAAAAACAGAAAACCTTAACCAAAAGAAAAAGACAACAACACAGAATATAAAACAAAGACCATTTAGATAAATAGATGTCAAATAACAAGATAGTCATATTACAGCCAGTTCAATTACTTTAAATGGAAATGTATAACCCCTCCAATCAAAAGATAGAAACTAACATCTGCTTACAGAGCAAAACCCAATGATATTCTATTTACAAAAAACAAAACTGAAATATAAAGAGATGTAAATATAAAGACAAAAGTAAATTGAGGGGAAAATGCCACACAATCACAACTAATAAGAAAGAGGGAGTGGCTATATTAACACCAGGCAAAGTAGACTTCAAGATAAGTAGTATTAAAATAGTAAGCAAAAAGAAAAAAAGTAGCAAAAAGAAGGGATAGTTCATAATAACAGAGCAGTCAATTTTTCTAGATAAATTACAATCCTAAGTGGGCTTCAAAGAACAGAAAGAAACTCACACAACTGAGAGGAGGAAGGGACTAAATCACTTATAGTTGGAGATTTCAACACTCCTCTCTAGTAAGGATAGAACAAATAGACAAAACAAAAAACAAAAAACCCATCAACTCTGAAAATGCTTTTAACTTAAATGACAATTAAAGGGCTGTATATCCAATAGCAGAATGCACATTATTACAAGCATATGTGGATGTCCAGACAACTGGGCCATAAAAAACTCATTAAGCGTCCTCCCTGGTGGCACAGTGGGTTAAAGCACAGCACTAAAAAGCTAAAGCCACTTCCGCAAGAGTTCAATCCCCACTGCGGAAGTGACCCATATGGCACAGAAGACCTTTCCTGACCCGCCCACTGCTCCCCTCAGCAGTGAACTTCATAGATCTGCCTGTTCTGCTCCCCACTCTGTCTCTGGTGAATACTCTCACCGCTCCTGCACCTCTGGCCTGTACCCCAGTTCTGTATGTATAAATAAATATTTTTTTAAAATTCAATAAATTTCACAAGCTAAAAGTCATACAAAGTATATCTTCTGATCACAGTGAAATTTAATTAGAACTCAGGAATAGATAGAAGGAAAATCTCCAAACACTTGAAAATTTAGCAACATTTTTAAATGATCCATAGATCAAAGAAGAAATCACAAAGGAAATTAGAAAATAGTATAATGAAAACACATCATGTCAAAATTTGTAGAATGCAGCTAATGCAGGGCTTACAGGAAAACTGATAAGTTTAGGTAGTTATAATAGAAAATACTGAAGAATTACAATCAAAGATCTAAAGTAGAAATATCAGAAGAAATAAGGAAGTAGTATACACAATGCTTAACTACTGAGCTTGACAGTCTAGATGGGTTATAAAAAATCAAATATAAAAAAATCAAATATCTATGGATAAGTATCAATAAGAATATGAGAACCTTTAAATGAAAACATGAAACGCTACTGAGAGAAATTAAAGATCCATCAAATGCACATTAACACCAATACGGCAGATTGAAGGACTCACTAGTGTGAAGTGACAGTTCCCCACCCAAACTGAGCTACAGAGTTTACACAATCTCAATTAAATGGCCGAAACTGGCAAGTTTATGTTACATTTACATGGATATGTCAAGACCTGGAAATGCCAAAAAGACAACTTGGGAGAAGAACAAACTTGGAGCGCCAGTACTTTCTGACGTTAAGACTTACTATGAAACTTCAGAAATCAAGGCAGTGTGAGTTTCGCCTAAAGATAACAAACAGATCAATGGAACAGAACAGATTCCTGAAATAAACCCACATTTACACAGTCAATTGATTTTTTTTTTTTCCCATCAAGGTGCCAAATCAATTCAACAGGGAAAAGAAAGTCTTTTTTTAAATTGTGGCTAGAACCACTGGCTTTCCATCAGACAAAATAAAATTAAACTTGACTCTATTTTACAGCATATGCAAAATGTAACAATTATAGATAGACTATAGATCCAAATATAAAAGCTATAAAAATCTCCTAAAAAAAAAAAGCTATAAATCTCCTAAAAAAAAAGCTATAAATTTCAGGAGACCATCTTTAAAAACTTAGAATAGGAAAAGATTTCTTAGACAGGACACAGAGCACCAGTATAGACAAAAAATGACAAATAAGACATCATCAAAATTAAACCCTCCTTATCAGATATTTAGGCATATATTAAGGCAAATCATAGACCAGGTGAAAATATTTGGAATACATGTATCTGACAAAGGGCTTGCACCTAGAACTTCTGTAACTCAATAAAAAAAATTAAAAATCAACCAGAGAAAAAAATGAGTAAAATATCTGAGTGGACACTACACAAAGAAAGATATACAAGTCACCAAAAAGCACACACAGAAACGTACACAGTTGAAGTCACCAGGGAGACAGAAATTAAAACTATAATGAGATAGGACTACGTCGTTGCTAAAAGGACAAAAACCCAAAGCACTGAAAACAGCAAGTGTTGGTGAGGATGCAGAACAGCCTGAATTCTCATCCAATGAGACTGTAAATCATAGACGTATTTTGGATTTAGTGGTTAGACGAGTATCTACTCTCAGACCCAGTCATTCCACTTTGCACTGTTCATTCAAGACAATTGTCTTCAAAATAACTCCAAACTGGAAACTACCCAAATATCCTTCAGTATTTGGGAGGATAAATTAATGGTTGTATGTTCACACAATGGAATACTACTGAGTAATGAAAAGGCAAACTATGAGAAAATACAACAAATGGGTCAACCTCAAAAATACATGCTAGGGAAAAGAGAACAGAGATCAGGGATGGATATTGTATGTTTCTTTTACATGAAATTCTAGAACAGCTATAGATGCTTCTATACTGGACTGAAGAAGTATGATTGAGGGGTGAGGAAGGCCCCAACTAAGAAGAGAAAAAGAGCATGAGGGGATTTTTTGAGGTGATGAAAGAATTCTACAGCTTGGAAGGGTTGTGGGTCACAAGAGGATATAAATCATCAAAGTTTAACAAACTGTATACTTAAGATCTGTACATTTTATACAAATAAATTAGACCTCACTTTGTAAATTAAAAGGGGAAAAAGTGAGATATCAAAGCTTATGGGGGGGGACCCACAATTTTGTTGGGGAACTCCCAAAATGTTTTTTTTCTCTTGACCTAAATTAAAAAAAAAAAAACATAAAACAAGTTGCCTGGAAGGCAAAAGCTTCTAGGCTACCCACTATTCTAAGAAACACCATGGGTGGGGAGGGGTATCCCAGCAGGCTTCCACTGAATCTTCTCTTTTTTCTCTCTTTTCTCTCAGCTGCACATCCCTCTTGATGCTCCCAGGATCAAAGCCTCTGACTGGGCTTCTCTAGCTCTTACCACCTGGCTGGCGCCAGGGCCCTGGAGCTAACTAACTTCCAGGGTCCTGGAGTTAACTAACTTCCTTCCACGGCAGCTCATCCTCCTGCCTCCCCCCCACCAGCGGGTCCCTGAGACCCTGGCCCTTTCCCTTCTTTGCCTTCCCCTTTGCAGCCATCAGCCATCAGCCTCGGCTCTGCAGCAAGGTCAGTTTCTACAAATCCAGCCTCATTCCTTCTTCAAACTCTATTGATCTCCTGTCACTGTCACCCCTGTCCTGTTCTCCTTGCCTCTGGGGATTTCTGCTTTTTTTTTTTTTTAACTCCATTACTAACATTTCATTGCGGTTGTGGGAGGAAGCAGGAAAAACAAAAAGCAGGTTATTAATCCACTGTTTTCCCTGAAGCCACTTAACCTTTCTAAGCCTCTATTTTTTTCATGTGTAAAATGGGGATAATGACATCTTCCCCCAAGGTCATTATGAAAATTTAATTATAACCTGGGCACACTGCCTCGAGCCTAGCAGATACATAGCGCATTGTTTTCTTGTTCACAGTTGTGTCAGCACCAACCAAGGCCTGGTTCACCACCTCCCACCTTTAGCCCCAGGTCCTGTCTCTGTCCACTTCCTCAGGGGGCTTTCCTGCTGTCTACCCCCCCCCATCCCCCTCTCTGTCCAGGCCTGCTTGCATCCCTAAGCGCCTACTGTATACAGATGCAGAGAGGCACCAATGAAGACGTGTAGTTTTGGTCTCTGTCCTCAAGGTGCCCTCATTCTATTGAGCATGCTCTCTCTTCACCAGTTAAGGATTCCTCTCCAGGGTCCCCTCAGGGGCATTTGCAAGTGCTGCTTCAAATGAAGGAAAACAATACTGTCTGCTTACACTGTGGTTTCTTTGCAGATGAAGATCTGAGACCCAGGGAGAAGTTAACTAACTTGCCCAGCAAGTGCAAGTAATGGATCAGGATTCAAGTCTGACTCTGGAGTATGTGCTCAGGACACTGGGTCCATGGCTGGTGGCTCTGCACCTTTGGCTCAGCACCCTGATGCAAAGAAATCCAGAGCAGCAGATCCCTGCAGGGGCCCCAGAGTCCATGGGAGCAATTCACAGCACCAAAAGATTCTTAAGAACAGTTTGGAGTTGATCTTGGGGGTTACGAGGCCCAGGACTCTGGGAAGAGGTTAAGGACAGTGCTTGGGCATCACGGCTGGCCCTATCTCAGCTCCCAAGAGGATGTTCCAGGATGGAAGGAAATGCTTACCCTTTCTTTACAGGTTAGACTACAAGACTTTCCTGGTGGGCGCCTCCCTGGTGGCGCAAAGGGTTAAAGCGCAGGACTATGTAGCCACTGCAGCATGAGTGGATCCCCAGCTGGCCCACACCGCACAGCAGACCTCTCCTGACCCGCCTACAGCTCCCCTCAGCAGTGTTCTTCAGTCTGTCTGCTCCCCACTCTGTCTCTCTGCTCCCCACTCTGTCTCTGGTGACTCCTCTCACCCACTGCGCCTCTGGCCAGTATCCCAGTTCTTGTATGCATAAATAAATCTCTCTCTTTTTTTTTTTTTTTTAAGAAAAGACTCTCCTTTTGACAAGTCCCTGGGGAATGTGTGCACATCCTCATTAGGCATGAGATACAGCAGATCAGTCACTGGGAAGATACCCTAAGAGGTTATGGGGATTCAGTTCTAAGAGGTGGATGGAATTAGGTATTTGCAAAGTGCTTGCTCCTCGGTGCCTGGCTCTTTGCAGTCACTGGCTCCCTCACTCTCGCAAGAACTAGCTGGGTGGTCTTGCTCTGGCCAGATGGGAAGGCTGGAATAAACCATCATGGCTCCTGGGGCAGACCACTCCCCGCTGCCCTGTCTGCAACCTTAGCTTCCTCATCTGCAAAATGGGAATGATGATCCCTCCTCCTTTCTCCCAGGGATGCTAAGATGGTTCTTTATAAAAGGACATTTCCAACTGACTGGCCCTTCCCCTGCATCCCTGGCCCACCCTGACCTGCCCTTGTGCCAGGCCTGGTCAGGCTCCCGGTTAACCACTGATGTCTGCAAGGCTGAGGGACACAGCCTATGCCGCCCTGCAATGGAATCAGGGGCCCACTGTCCTCGCCCACAGACCTGAGGTGAGACCTGTCAGAGTAAGAACCTCAGAGTAGGGTGTACAGCCCCTCATGTAGAGCACCCACCCACCACATACCCTCACAAAACTCAGTTCATGGGAATCTCACAGCTTTTCCTGAGCACCGCAGGAGAGAGACTCTCCACAGGGGGGCCTTTCTGTTTGGAGAGCTGCAGGGACACTGGCTCCCACCCAAGGGCCCCGTCTGCCCACTGCAGGGACAGTGTGAGAGCCGCAGGCTGGGTCCCCCCACCCTGGGTCTCCACTCCACTGCGCATGGTGTGTGCGCTACACACCCCTCTCACTGGTTCCACTCTGATACCTCATAACTGCACGGTGTGAGAATTAGCAGTGAGGTGCCGGTATTCTTCTTCCCGTTTTACAGATGGAGACTGGACCTGAGAGGCAGAGCCCTTCTTTGTCCAAGGTCACATGTGGGGGTGAAGCAGGATCCCCCTTTCTCCTCTCCTCCTCAGATTCTCACTGGCCATCACCTGTGGCCCCCTGTAGAGCAGTGAGGCTCGCCCCACCCTGCGCTCCACCTTGTGGTCCTGGCTCTGCCAGCCATGTGTCCCTGGCAGCTGATACATACCCCTGGGGACAGGCACAGCCGGACAGGCAGGGGCCCCGGGCTGCCACACTGAGGTTCAGCAGCTGCTGCTCACACGTCCTCTCTCTGCTCAGTTCAGGGTCCGTGCGCGTATCACTGCAGTTGACAAAGACCTGGCCCGCTGGGCAGGCAGTCTCTGCGAGAGAAGAGGGAGGGTGCTGAGGAGAGCTGGGACACTAGCAGAGTGCCTGGAATATCTGGGCGTGGGGTGGATCTGGGGTGGCCAGGGAGACTGGGGGACCCGGCATCTGGGGGTGAGGTCAGGAGACACGGGGCTCTGGCGCTTTCTTGTTTGGCTGCTGCAAGGTGTTCCTTGCGTTCCAGACTCACACCACAGCCTGAGGGAGCGGCATATGCTGTCACCCACCAGGAGAGCCACTGTCACTGCCATGGAGACAGCACTCCCCACCCAGGCACTCCACCTTCACCCTCTTGTTAAATGCTGCCTCAACTCAGCTACCGCTAGATCCCATTTTCTCATTTTCTGTTTGCAAAAGGAATAATACAGGGAAAGGGTGCCCTAGAGGGACCACAGCAGAGCCAGAAGAGGACAGCCACGCAGCGTGGAAGGGGTGCTTCCAACAGAGATGTCAGCTCCCCATTACCTGGCTTCCTGTGACATAACCCAACTCTCCCAAGCCTTCAGTCGAGTGGCTCAGGCACACTCACACTCATACCTGGCGCAAGGGATCTTTTTTATGGAAAGTGATAGAAGGGAGTAGAGTGCCATGCCCAGCCTGGGAGGGAGCAGAGAGAAAGGCGTGGCCACAGGAGATGAAATAAAGTCCCAAAGAAGCAGAAATCCCAAGCCAGAAGCAACACAAAGGAAACCATTTCTGAAATATGCACAAAACATGGGGAGAAGGCAGGAATCTCGGTTATATACAAGAGTTTAAAAAAAAGCTCAGAGAGGTGAAGTGAGTTGCCCAAGCCTGCACAGCTGGTGAAGGCCGGCAGGAAATGAACCCCAGGGGCCACATGCTTATCTTCTGATCTCCTATTCTTTAGTGACCTCCTGCATCCTAAGAGCCCCCTGAAGGCTCCAGCCCCCTGCTTGACCTCCAGCCTCTCAGGCTGACCCACCACTGTCTCTGCCAACCCCCCCCCCCTCGCCAAATCCCTACTACCTGTCCTCCCCATCTATGTGACCTCCACCTGGGCTGTGCACAGTCACCTCAACAACAGGTGACAGCTCAGACTAAGGAGACCCAAGGTCCAGGGGAGGTGAGAGACTATCCAGACGCTCTAGCCAACTGCCCCAAAGGATACAGAATCTTGGCCTCTATGTAAGAAGCAGCCCTAGGGTGAGGCTGAGGTTGGGATGGATTTTAAGGTACCACCCTCCAACCTGGAGCCTTGCCCAGAGGGCAAGCAGCGAAGCAGGCTTAGCGTGGAGCCAGACCTGGGGTGGGCGCTCCCCCTTCTGCTCTGTCCTGAAGCTCCCACCTCTCCTCTCCATCACACCACCACCACAGGGCGTCCCCCACCCTTCTAGTCACCCTTACGTGGGGCTCTGCTCTCACAGCTCATGACTCCATCTTTGCAGTGGCTGAAAAGGGAGAGAGAGAGACTGGATTAGCTAACCCTGCCACGGCAGAGCCCAGACACAAACCCCTCATTCCCTGTATCAGGTCCCCGCAGGGTTTAGACCCTGTCCCAGAAGGGGATGGTGGGTGCTGTTCATGGCAAGTCCTGTTCAGTTGCATTTTCTTCAGTAGCAACTTCATCGAAAGAGAGGACAGACGCCGCCTCCCAGGGAGCTCACCAGTAGCCCAAAGATGGGATGTCACTGTCCCCAGCTGGGTAGTCCACTCCCTGGAAGTGGCAGGAGCACTGGTTCCTATAGAAGCCGGGAAGAGAGAGATGAGAGCTGGGACAGGGACAGCCAAGGACAGGGATCACCATCCCACCCCACCACCCTCTTCTAAGTCTGCCAGGGACTTAAGGACACACACAAAAGTGATGACATCTGTGTGACACGTGACACTTCTCCAGGGAGTGGAAAAGTCGACCTGGCACCAGGGACAGAGATCAGGCTGGGGCCAGCCACCAAACCTGGACAGAGACGGCCTCACTGGGCTCTGTGCATGCCCAAAGCCAACCTCACCTGAGCAGAGGAAAGGAGAGGCAGAAAGAATGGGCCCGTGCTTTCTGAGCCTATGCTGGGGGCAAAGCAGGGCAAATATTCTTGCTCTGGTCACTCACTCCCTGTGCCTGTTCTGATGGCCCTCGAGTCCTTCTGATCTCTGCTCAAACATCACCCCATCTTGTACAACACAGCAACAGCCCCTCCCACCCACGACTCCCTGTTCTCACTCTGCTCTGCGTGGCTTTATAGCGCTTGTGAGCAGCTGACCATTAAATGTCTGTTTATGTTTCAACACCAAGAATGTGAGTTCCATGACGGCAAGATTCTGTTTTGTTTGGTGCCAAATTCCCAGAGCTTAGAAATGGCTGGAATACACTAGGATGTCAATAACTATTTGTGGAAGAAGGGAGATGACTTGACTTGATCTTGACTCTGTGGGGGTTGCTCTGCCTTGTGGGAAAGCTGAGCTGGGACTGCCTACAGAGCGAACGCTGCACAGGGAGCCTGGGAAGGGGCCCACCCATGCACCCATGCACCGTTACCCAGCTCTAACCTACAGTTAGAAGATCCCCTGGAGACCCCCAGCCTCAGCCCCACTGGCCAGAGGCCAGACTGGCCTGCTTACCTGGGGACACAGAGTTCAGCCTGGATGTCCAGGTAGGTGTCTGGTGGGCAGGCACAGCCTTCCACACACTCATCCCCACCGAGGTCACTGCTGCCATCCACCCCACAGGCCTCGGGATTGGCCAGGTCCTGGCAGGTCTGTCCACATGGGGTCACACAGGGGCTGTAGACCTTGGTGGTCTCACAGGACAGTGCTGTAGCAGGAAATGGAACCATGGTTTGGCTCCCTTCTCCCTACAGCCTAATGGAGTAGGGGATTAAGCTGACTCTAGGAGCCTCTAGGAAGAACTGAAAATCAGAGAAGTTAAGACATGTGACCAAGGTCACACAGCAAGTCAAAGTCAGAGTTGGGGTTTGAATGCAGAGTTGCGTCCAGAGCCTCACGACTGAATAGAACGGCAGAGTAGAAGGGCTGGATCCCACTCACCAGTGCAGCCTGGATCCTGCCACTGGTACTTATACCTGTGCACACCCAAAGCCAGCTCATTCCTCTTAAGTAATAGATGGGAGAAGTGACCTTCCCGACAGACATCCCCTGCACCCAACCCATCACTCACAAAGATACCTAGACAGGTGTACAAATGCACATTTCACACTTCACATCCACAGCTACAACGTGCACAGACTGAGGGTCAATTGTGCTGTCTCTAGCAGCCCCTAGGAAGACTCAGGGACCCCACTTCCCCGGGCTCTCCCTCAGTCAGTAAACCCACTGAAACTGCCAAGTTCAGTTGTTCTCACCCAGGATGCTCATCAAAGCCACCCGAAGAACTTTTAAAAATACTGGTCAGTAGGCCCTCTGCCAAATAAATCATTTCAATTGACAGATGTGGCCCAAGTAAGTGCTTTTAATGTTCTCATGGCGACTCTGATGAGCAGCCAGAGCTTAGAACTACTGGTCCTGGAAACTGCCCCTGGAGCAACTGGCTCAGAGAGGGTAGGGGCCCAGCAGGGGCACACAGCAAGTTACCTGCAGGCTGGCATAGAAGACAGGCCTCTCTGGTGTAGCTTTTTGTTTATTCAACAAGCATTTGCTAAAAGCTTGCTGAGCAGAGGGCCATTTGCTGGGCTTGGGGGATACAGAGACATGTACTAGATATGGGCACAGTGGCCCCAGCCACTCGGGGGTGGGCAGGGCCAGCTTGTGCCCTCAAAGCCATTGGCCAGGGAGCCAATAGTCTTTGGAAAGTTTGTGCCAGCTGCCACAAGAGGCTGTGGGACTTGGAGTAGGATGGTGGCAGCAGAAGTGGGAAGAAATGGAGGAGCTGGGATTGACAGGACGGGTGGGACTTGGCGATGGACTGGAGGGGAGGGTAAGAGAGAAGTAGTCATCTGTCACATGTGCCAGGAGTCAGGCCAGGGAGATCCAAGGGCCGAGGCCTTTGGCGAAGACGGACAGCACGGGAGAAGCACTGAGGCGAGGCAGCGCGGTGGGTAGGGTGGAGGAGACCGGGATATTCCAGCGGGGAGGGTAAGGGGCTGGTGACACTCAGGTTTGGAGCTTGGGCTCCCCCAGCTGCGCTCTCCCACAGACACATCGCGTGTGGGGGGTACCCTCACCGCAGGCTGGCAGGTGGGCGCGGAAGTTGACAGGGAGCCCGTGGCGCCGGCACAGGCGGGCATAGTGGGCCAGGGTGGCACACAGGCAGGGCTGTCCACAGCGGCAGGCGTCCCGGCGGCACTGCTCAAAGTAGGGCACAGGGCTCAGGTACGCAGAGCAGGGCGCGAACAGCTCCCCGGTGAGCACGCTGCAGGACTGCACCGCGTAGGAGGCTGGAGGCAGAACAGGCAGGCTCAGGGGTTTACCTGGGGCCCCTGGGCGCAGTGCACTGTGCGTGTGAGCATGCACAGAGCCTCACTGTGTGGGCACATGCATTCCACCCCATGCTAGGCATGAGTTCTTGCACTGGAAGGAGACGGGCATCAGCACAACAGGCAAACTCCCTGCCTTCATGGCACTTGCATTCTGGTTGGAGGAGACAGACCTAACCAATTTAATATACGAGAAGGCGGAGAATCTCAGCCTCCCAGGTGGTGCAGGGGATAAAGACACAGTGCTATCACGGCATCGCCAGCCACTGCAGCATGAGTTCGACCCCCAGCCAGGGAGCTGACCCACATGGCGCAGCAGGCCTCTCCTGTCTGGCCCGCTGTTCCCCTCAGCAGTGTACTTTGTCAGTCTGCCTGTCTGCTCCCCACTCTGTCTCTGATGGATGCCCCACACCTCTGGCCTGTACCCCAGTATGCATAAATAAATAAATCTTTAAAAAGAAGAAGGTGGAGAATTCAGGGAAGAGAAAGCTGGAAGGAGTCTGGAGTGCAAGAGGCGCTGGAGAGAGCCTGGCTGTGTGGGGAGAACAGCATGGATGCCAACTTTCCATGAAGCAGAGTGCAGGGTGGGGAAGGCAGTGGGATGAGAGGGGTGGGCGCCAGGGTCAGGCCCAGTGGGGCCGCTGAGAGGACTCTGCTTTTGCCCTGAGGTGGGGGAGCCAGTGCAAGTGTCTGGGTACATGACTGTGGATGTGGCGCTTCCTGTCTGCCTAACCCTCACCAGAGGGGACTCAAGCTCCCTCCTGCAGCACCTCCTCGTTCTTACTCCCACCCAGCTGGACCAGCACCCTCACTCCCGAGTTCTCATCTCAGCTCTCTCAAGTAGTCACAGCCCCCGCACCCCCTCTTTGCCATTCTCCCTCCACCTCACCTGTTTGCGGGTGCACATCACAGGGGTCCAGTGGGGAGCCAGAGACCAGTGGGGAGCAAGCGGACAGTGTTTTCCAAGAATTGCCAAAGAGTTGTGGGGTGCTCTCTGGCACACCCACCGGAGACCTGCAGACAGGACACAGCCACAGTCACACATTTGCTTGTGTTGACCCAAGTGAACACACACAGGTAAGCACCTACCTGTTCATGGACACACAGAGAGCACAAATACATGCCAAATTTGATGGAGATGAAAAAGCATACTTGTACAAAAATGAAGAATGATGTAAAAAATATATATATATATATATATTTAAAAAGTGTAAAAAGAATAACCAATACCACTGGGTTAACACGTTCTCCCACCTCCCTTCTCCACAGGCAGTTCCTGGACACTCCTCTCCCCTCCCTCTCTGTCTAGGGAGGAAGTGGTCACTCCGGGGTACTAAACAGGGCAAGAGGGAAGAGCTTGCTTCCTGGACATCAGCATTTTCCAAAACACTCCACACTCTACTGCGGGAGAACAAGGAGAGACTCGGTGTCCATGGGTGGGGGTCTGCCCGGCACCCATCACTGCCCCGGGGGCAGTGAGGCCACTCGCGTGGCCAGTGCCCCGTCTCCACCCACGATGCACATCCTGGAGGGGGCAGCCCACGCCCACGCCACAGCAGGGCCTGCCCACCACCCCATGTGGCGGCTGCAACTCCAGCCCCCCTCCCCGCCCAGACAGAAGGAGGCTGCGTCTTCCACTGCACAGCTGTGCAAAGCATCCTCTGGTTCTTGTTTTCCTGAGTGCCTCTGAATTCTCATTTCTGGCTGAAGTTTCCCCCATGTTTTATTTTATTGTTTTTGTTTGTTTGTTTGTTTTTGCATCACCCAATGCATATAACTTGAAACTCCAGCTTCAAGCAGCCCTTTCTTCTCCTTTCTGAAGCCTGACTCCTGTCCCCTCCCGTTCCTTAAGCGGTGCCTGTGTCCAGAGCCTGTCTCTCGCCACCTGGAATAGCCTTTCCCTGACATTGGGAAGCTCAGTGTGCAAACTTCAAACACTGGGCAGGAAGGTATGTGGGAAATTGATATTATTAGCTCACTGGGGGCTCATACTCATTCCAAAGGTGTTCAATTAAAATCATAAACCACGTAAAACCCACTTGATGACCTCCCTTAAAGTATTTCTCAAGGTCTGGCCCAGAAACTTCATCTACAAGACCTGCCATGGTGCTTATATAAAATGGCACTGCTAGACCTCACCCTAGTCAGATTTTTGAGGAGCGGGACCCAGAAGTGAGCATGTTATTGGGCTCCCCAACCCCCTGTCCTGGAAGTCTGCATAGAGAAGACTGTGAACAACACTTAGGCGTAAAGGAATAAAGAACATAAAGAACATG